TGGCCTCAACTGCTTTCTGTGGTAGCGAATTCCGTAGGCTTATTACTCTCTGGCTGAAGAAATTTATTCTCATTTCAGTCCTAAATGATTTACTCTGTATCCTTAGACTGTGACGCCCCAGTTCTGGACTCCGCCGTAATCAGGAACATCCTTCCTGCATCTACCCTGTCTCATCCTGTTAAAATTTTATAGGTTTCTATAAGATCCCCATCATTCTTCTGAACTCCAATAAATATAGCCCTAACTAAACCAATCTCTCTTTATGCATCTTTGCTGCTACCCCAAGAATGAATTTGGTAAACCTTTGATGTACTCGCTCCATACCAAGAACATCCTTCCTCAGTAAGGAGACCAAAACTGTGCAGTGGCTCAGTGGTTAGCACTGCTGCCTCACAACGCCAGAGTCTTGGATTTGATTCCAGCTTTGGGTGATTTTCTGTATGGAGTTTTCATATCCTCCTCTTGTCTGCATGGGTTTCTGCTGGGTGCTCCGGTTTCCTCCCACAGTCCAAAGAAGTATCGGTTGGGTGGATTGGCCATGTTAAATTGCCCTGTAGTGTTCAGGGATGTGCAGGTTAGGCATATTAGACATCGTAAATGTGGAGTTATGGGGGCAGGGTGGGGGCAGGGAGTTGGGTTTGGGTAGAATGCTGGTTGGAGGATCATTGCAGACTTGATGGGCCAAATGGCCTCTTTCCAGACTGTAGGGATTCTTATGATTATATTTTGCAAAATCACTACCAATACATCCATTGTTTCTCGTGCCACTTCCTTAAGAGTGGGAGTTCATCAGCTTTCAGTCCCATCAATTACCCCAATACAATTTTGCTATTAATCGTGATTTCTTTTCATTCTTCCCTCTCACTAAACCTTGTGTTCCCCAAACTTCCTGGTACCTTATTTGTGTCTTCCTTTGTAAACACAAAATCAATGTATACATTTAGTTGGTCAGACATTTCTTTGTTCCTCATTATAAATTCCACTGTTTCTGATTGTTAGGAATCAACATTTATCTTCACCAATCTTTTTCTCTTCACTTACCTCTAGAAACTGCTACCATTGTTAATATACCCTACAAACCTACTGTTGTACTCTATTTTCACTTTTTTAATCAATCCCTTTGTCTTGCTTTGCTCCATCCTAAACAGCTTTCACTGCCCAGCATTGTTGTTTTCTTTTCTGGCCAATTTGTTTGTCTTTTCATTAGATCTAATACTATTTACAATTTCCCTTGTATGTCATGGTTTGGTCACCTTTCCCATTTTACTTTTGTGACAGACAGGAATGAACAATCCTTGCAGTTTGCCCATGTGCTCATTGAATGTTTGTCATTGCCTTTCCATTGTCATCCCTTGAAGTAACATCCCCAATTTACCATAGCCAACTTGAGCTTCATATCATTGTTAAGTTCCTCTATTTAGATTCTGGACCCCAGTCTTAGAATCAACAACCTTGGGTCAAAATCCTGGAATTCCCTCCCTAGTGGCATTGTGGGTCAACCCACAGGATGGAGCGGTTCAAGAAGGCAGCTCACCACCACCTTCTCAAGAGCAACCAGGGATGGGCAATTAATGCTGAACAGCCAGCGACACCCACATCTCATAAATGAATGAATAAATAAAACCTCACTCTCTATCTTGAGAAAGAATTCTATCATATTATGATTGCTCATCCCCAAGGGACCTCACAGAATGAGATTGCCAATTATTCTTTTCTTATTACACAGTACCCAGCCTAGGATGTCCTGATCACTAGTTGGGAGTTCCTCAATGTATTGCTCCTGAAAACCATCCCAATACACCCCTACACTTTGAGGAAGATTGAATCTTGGAGGGTTTTTTTTAAAATAAGCATGGTGAAATGACTGAGCATCTATTAAAACCAATCTTATTTCAATGTGGGAATGTCTCCTGTGTACTCTTTGGCAGATGAGATCTTCAACTTTTTCCACTTTCCTGTGTGTTTGTGTAAGTTGAAATTAGTTCCCCTTTGGGGAAATTGTGCTGCTAACAGTGGCAGTGTTGTTGAATAGTGAAGCTATGTGCCTGTTTACAGACTTGTTTGTGTTTTGTGCATGAGCACCTCCCATCATCTTTTTTCATTTTTCCACCGACATATTACACAAACAAGCATGTGACTCAACAAACAGGCGAGCCCATCTGACCAATCACAGCAGTCCCACTGCAATGGCAACAGCGGTAATATAAAAGGGGAAAAGGAACTGAGATTAGAGCAAATCTGTCAGTGCCTGAAGGAAACAGAGACAGGTTCAGGTTTCAACTGGTAATCCTTTACCAGAACTGAGAGAGAATGCAGAGCAACAGCAATACAAAGAAGCAAACAGAGGATGTCAACAGGTAAAAGTCACATGTACCCAAATGCTAAATCCTGTTGCTGCTTTAACATCTTGTGTCTTGTTTTCTAAACACTCAGCTATTAATACCTGTTATAAATCACGCAGTTATCAGTTCAAGCTGTCATTTATCATGTGCCGGAAGGCTTGCGCTGGCTGTTGTGTAGATGTCAGCCTTTGGCAAACTGTATCTAACTGTGGAGAGGGTTACAGCAAACCCCAACTGTCTCAGCTGGCAAGTGGGCTGCAGAATTGATCCTACAGAACTGAAAGGGAAGGAATACTGATTTGTCCACTGAAACAACCTGCCACATTATTTCAGTGTGGAGTCTTTTTGTCATTCCTTGTTTAGGCGTGGGCCAGATGGGAGTTTATCCCTCCTCTATGGTTATCCTGAGAAGGTGATAGTGGACTTTCTCTATGAATTTCTGCTGCCCTGTGATAGTGCTGCTCCCTCTGTGGTGGTAGGTGAGACTCTCTCGGATGATTACCCAATGATGATAAGGGAATGACCATGTATGCTGAATTCAGAATGATGTGTAATTCTTATGATGTATACTGCAGCCTTCAGTGAAAAGAGTGCATACAGTGTCCAGAGGCACTGACCAAAAGATCTGATGTGTCTTGGATAGTATTGAGCTTCTCAAGTGTTTCTGTGGCAGTATCTGTCCAGGCAAGTGGAGGGCATTTATTTTTAATTTTAAGTTTGACATTTTGTACATGGCTTTGAATGGTCAGAAGGGGATCTGCTTGAGTACTCATCCTCCACCTGCTGTTGTTATCGAGGTGATGTTGAGGCAGATTCAAGTGAAGTACCTAGTCAATGGCAAGCCCACCCAGGATGTGTGACCTGGTAGTGTCACTTACTAGATTTTCTGCCTTCTAAATCTCAACCATGGGTGACAAAATGAGTGCTTATGTTGTATATAAATATCAGAGAGAGACATGTTCTATTTTGTATTTGTAGTGAAATTATAAACGGCTTATGAAAAGCTTATGTCTGATTTTGTGCTGAATACAGAAATCTTTGATCATGATGATGTGCGTCAGAACAAGCTCTCTTCTCACAAATTGAAATAATAGTGTTCAAGTAGGGAGTGCTGGATAAAGCAGTAACAATACACCAATTAACCTGATGTCAAATTGTGAACAAAACCTTGGAATCTGTAATGCGAAATCAGGTACATGAGGTAAGGGTTAATTAAGGACAGTCAACACGGACTTGTGAAATGCAAACTGTGTTTGACAAATAAAACAGAAAGTCTGGAAACACTCAGCAGGCCTAAGAGAGAAACAGAGTTAATGTTTCAAGTCTATATCCTTTCATTGCACCTTTTATCAGTTGGTTACAAACCTAAAATATTAGTCCTGTTCCTGTCTCCATAGATTCTGCCAGATTTACTAGCATTTTCTTGATTTTTATGCAGAGTTCCAGCATCTGCAGTATTTTGCTTTTGTCAGTGTTTGATACATACTTTCAAAAGCTGTCGCAGAACTGAAGAGATAAAGGGGTACATTAGGTGTTGTGAATATGGATTTTTCTAATGCATTCAATAAGGTGTCTCACCTAAAGGTTCTGAGCGAGCATAAGATGGTGACAGCTTTGGTTGAAAATTAGCCAGTGGACCAGAGATAAAGAATTAAAGTAAATAAGTGTCGCTTAGACCCTAGAGGCCCATACATTTGTTCTCTGTATCTTAGAAGATCAGGACTTGAGCTGAGGGAGCGCAATCTCAATTTGTTGACAACAGTAAGCTAACAGGTTGGACAAACAGCCACGAGGTTTGTGAAAGACCTTTGGGAGATCTAAACAGGTTAGCAGGATTGGAAGGAAGATGGAAAATGCATGTGTGAGGTAATGCACTTTGGGAAGAAAAACAAGAAATGTGTGTGTGTGTACTCAATGGGAAGTCACCACAAGGGGAGCTGAACAGAGAGGCCTAAGGGTGCAGATGCAAAACTCCCTATGGTTTCTAGTGCAAGCGGAGAAATTATTTTTAAGAGTCAACAGAACATTTGGTGTCATAAACAGAGACAAAACACATGATAGCAAAGAAATACTTATTAGTTATGAAACAAGTAGGGCACTGTGTACTGTTTTAAGGACCCAGTGTAGAAAACCATAGAGAAAAAACGGCAAAGATTCATTGGTATGATGTTAATGATAGGAAGCAATAGTTTGCAGGAGAGACTTCGGAGCTTGGGACTGTCCCATTCAGACATACAATGTTAAGAAATGATTTAACTGAGATTTGAAAAATAAGAAATGGTCTTGGCAATGAAGGTGAAAGACATCTCCAACCCCAGTGATGAGGGATCAACTTTAATAAAATGTGACTTTTTACCAGATTGTTGTGTAGAGGGAGTACAATACATTTTGTTTCAACTGTGTTCAAGGTAGAGATCATTGCTCTCTTAAGGGCCAACTGGGGTACTATTTTCTACAGGAAGATACAGGGATGTGTGGAGAGTGTTGGATTGTTCTATCAAAGAGCCAGAACAGACATGCTGGACCAAATGGCCCCTTTATGTGCTGTAAAATTGAACAGTTTAAAGAAGTTAATGTTTTAAGTTCTCCGCTGAAACTGGGAAATTTTAGTGTGAGTTGATTGCTTTACCAAACCATTTGTTTCCTTTCATTAACTAGCAATCCTCTGCCATCACTGGAGGAGATCACATCCTGGACACAGGGTTTTGACAAGGTGATGAGGACTGAAGCGGGCAGGAACATTTTCCGTGAGTTCCTGAGGACAGAGTACAGCGAGGAGAACATGCTCTTTTGGCTGGCATGTGAAGACTTCAAAAAGGAAAAGAATTCAAAGGTAGTTGCAGAAAGAGCAAGGACAATATATGAAGACTACATTTCAATTCTGTCTCCAAGAGAGGTGAGAAAATTTCTGACAGGCAAACACAAGACTAATGCACCTAGATAACATTAGTGGTTGTGCTTTTTCTTTTCCTTTTGGTACAGGTTATATTTTAAAAGGAGAAGGTGAGTACAGGTAAGTGTTGTCAATGATAATTACCATCAAAGATTAATACTATTAATAATTACTCATGCTAATTCATACTGTTATTGAGTTATACAGTGTTTATGAATTAATATTTTCTATAATTAGTTATGTCAATAAGAAATATGAGTAATAGTTGATTATTGGTGAGTACTATAATTACCCAGAACTGATTATTGATCATTTGATTTTGATCTATTTGTACCATGTGATTACAATTAAAAATGAGTATTGCAAAGAATTAAATTGTAGTTGTGTTGCCAATGATTATACAGTAATAATTAGTGCTGCTAATGTTTAGTATTCTTGATTAATACTACTGTCATTGATGAGAATGGCTATTTTCTGCCAGCACTGGTACAAAGTAACAAAAACAAAAATTATGCTGAAAAACTCATCAGGTCTGGCCTCTTCTGTGGGAAGAGAGCAGAGTTAATGTTTGGAGTCCAGTGACCCTTCTTCAAAACATTCACAATTGTGAAGAAGGGTCACTGGACCCAAAACATTAACACTGCTTCCTCCCTACAGACGCTGCCAGTTCTGCTTAGTTTCTCCAGCAATTTCTCATTTTGTTTCAGATCTCCAGCATCCACAGTTCCTTGTGCTTTTTTTTGTTAATAAGGAATATTGTCAGCTGTACAAATGTGAATAATTTAACAATAATAATTGTGACCAATAATTACTCACTTTGCAGTTGCGCTTGTGACTGTCAATGGCCAAGAACCACTCACTCAGGAATTGTTCCTATCAATCCTAACAATGGCCTATTTGTTATACAGTATTTTACTTTAACTTTTACTTCTTAAGTACATTCATGAACTTTGATATTTTAGCAAACCAGAGATTAAACACATTGAGGCCAATGAAACTTGTTCCCTTCAGTAGCAGCAGTTGTTGTGGTCAAGCGATAGAACTGCTGTGAGGATGCATTCTAAGTTGGTAGATGACAGTTTTGAGCATTGGCAGAATTTATCATTAATATGTTCATTAATGATTCCACCAGCCATTCCTAATACTAACCATTAGCATTGGCCATTCATAAGATTTACCATCTACTATCTCAGCATTGACCATTATGTTGATGACTGGTCATTTATTAAACTGACCGTTTTCAGCAATTGCCGTTCATTCTGATCAAGACTATTTATAATACTGACCACTAATGGAATGGACTATTAAACTTACCACTAATTTTCATTGCAAAGGACTTTCATAAAGCTTATTCGTGGGTATTCATGGTACAAGCCATTCACACCATGAGCTGCTCCTAATCGTTACCTATATGATGATCATTGAACCTTGTATAGTACTGACCACTGACAGTAGTGACCAATGGCACCATGTACCTTGCACTATTGCCTGTGGTGACAGTTTGATAATATTGAATAACAACGTCATTGACAATTTACATCAATGCCCATTAATATCACTAACAGTAAACAGCATTGACCATTTGCAACAGTGTCCTTTGATGACCACTTATGAGGTTAACCATTGAACCAGGCCTGTTTCAGGACGAGAGAGTGTAGTGATGGCAAAGTCGGTGTCTACTTTGAACTTACATATCATCCATCTGTGGTCATTAAGGGAGGCACAGTAATGAGTATGGCCTTGAATGGATCTAAATCAAGCTCGTGTTAGGTATTTGCTGAATAGCCTCGAGTGAGAGTGTGTAACAATTGATAATGCACTACAGTTATTCTTTCTTTGTGCTGTTTGCAGGTGAGTCTTGACTCTCGTGTGCGAGAAATAGTCAACAGGAACTTGCTGAATCCATGCCCTCTTATGTTTGAGGATGCCCAGCTACAGATATACAGCCTAATGCACAGGGACTCCTTCCCCAGGTTCTTGAACTCTGAGATATACAAGTCACTCATTGAAAGGCCTAAGACATCCCCTGACACCAGCCCCAGTGCTGAAAGCAAAGCTCGGACCTCCTGAAAGCACAAGGAAATGGAACAGTGGAATTTGGAAACAGTTGCACACTTACATTTGTATAGCACACTCCTATATTTGCACAACTTCTATCACATACATGCTAACAAGATGCTATTTGGAACATACAGATACAATCATTACATGTGTACATCTACATAGTCACATTAACATGAGAGCAAGTATACACAGTTATACACACATGGACCTATGCATACATTCACAAACATACCTTTGTGCATTCATGAAAGCACATTCATTCCTGCATACATGTATACATTCTCAAACATTTGCACCTACAGGTGCTGACACCTTGTATTAAGACACTATCCACTTGTGTACACACTCCAACACTCTCACACACACACACTCACACACACACACACACACACACACACACACATGTGTGGAAATAATAATGATTAAAGCAGTGTAAAGCTCTATAGCTTGCTTGCTGGAGATCCCTGTTTAGCTTTACTCAGGCTGTGGTGACTAACTGAATATCAAGTTCACCTTTAAAGAAAGTATATACATATAAAATCATCGGAATAAAGGTTTTGCTCACTGCCTCAGTTACAAACACAAAGACAAAAGCCAAGAATGTTTGTTTTTTTTTTAAGAAAAGATGTTTTGTTATTTGCCAAGGTTTGATTTTTGTTCCCTGTAGCAGCAACATACCAAGTTGGTCACTAGTAGAGTAGGTAACCAGCTGCCTGCAGCATCCCCAAACATTGATCAGAGAGAGCAAACACTACCTTGGAGAGGTTTGGAGGGACAGGGGCTTCAAGTGCTCCCAAGGAACATTTGCCTGATCAGAGTGCAGAACATGCAGCAGTGTGACACTGTTCTTCAAAGAGCACTGGGGCCTCCTGAGGTAGCTGTAAGCAAGTTTAGAAATGCTAGTCTTTCTTTCTTCATGGCAGGATACTGGCAGCAGGATTTTATGAAATGTAATAAGCACAAAAAATTAAAAGGCACAATTTTTTAGGGGGAAGGGGTTGCAAGTTACCAGTGTCAGTAATTCTGATCATTTTGAGAGATACAGGAACATATTTATTTATCTTGATAGAGACTGCAATTATTTAATGTGTGTGTGTGAGCGTGTGTGAATAAAAGCTCGGGGATCTCTGTTATCTTTTTTTCTGTGGTCAGTGAATGTTTGCATCTCTCTGATTTAACTTTATCTATCATCTTAAAACAGCCTGAAATCTGGTTTGTTTCAGTGTGAATCGTGACTTTGCTTGTGGCAGCTGACAGGTGTAGGCAGGGTGAAACTCATGGCTTAAGGTCCTCAGAAACTACAGCAGGGGTCTCCAAACCCAAAGCAGATTCTCCTGATAAAGTGGGGCCATGTCCACAGCAAGATGTAGTGAGGGCAGAGGAGGTGGAATAAGCTACACTGTGCAACTTCAGTGATTTATAGCGAGCAATGTAGCATAATTGGAAGTGGAAATTTGCCCAGTCTACACCATTCTGCTCAGGATATGTGCTGCATTAAAATCCTGCCCGTATTTAAAATGGGTTGCTGAGAGATGTCACAAGGTGATGTATTAAATTGCCAGCAGAGGTTTCTAGGTTAAACTGTGTTTTTTGCTTGTTCATTTCTTAAAATCTGTATGTAATTTTAACACTTTGTTATTAAAAAAAAGTTCGTAAATGTATATTTTATGTCTTTGGGCAGATAGGGCAGATATGAGTTTTCTAGTTAAAATAGCACCCGTGATGCTCTCTCAGAAGGAATCTCCTCATTTGGTCTTGTCCTGTGGTCCAGTGTTAACAGACTGGGAAGGCTTGCCTTATGTGGAGGTTGCAAATTTGAACCTGGAACTCGTGAAATTTAATTCAGCAAATCTCCCAAAGCTATCAGTTTGACATATATTTTGTAAGAGAAAACAAGTCCAACTGATCATTGATGAGTGGGGAAATTTACCAAATGCCCCCCATTTGAACTAGTCTACGTCATTCCAATTCTACACTAGATATTTGAGTATTAACAAGGAATGAAGTATAAATACAAACTCAACTGTGTTCCCAAGAATGATTGTTTTATTTTACAAAGGAGATCTGTTTAAGGATTCAGTTTGAGTTTATTGTGTATGAACTACATTATACCTACATAAACCGACGTGTGATATGACTTTGGTTGACATGTCTGAAACAACTTAAATTATGACATAACATTAGCAATTAAAAATAAATAGTTTGTCCTGGATTAGATTTTAGCTCTTGACAGAGGAGAAGCAAATTCCAGTCTGGGTGGTCAGTGTTGATTCACTCTTCTATTTGGAGCTCCAGCAAGCTGGGCAAACTCAATTAGGGTCTGCTCCACTACCCTCTATGATCAGTATCCAGTGGTGCTGTTTGGAAGTGTGTGTGTCTATCAGCAGAGGGTGTGGTCAAACTCTGTCCTGGTCATTCTGAGCCCAGCTTCTGTCCTATTTAATAGCCCAATTGATCTTCATAGACAAAGGTCACACACAAAGTGTAATTGGATGCTTAGACAAGATACCAAGACAGTTCTGCTGTTAGAAAAACTGCTCCAATGGGAGACCACCACTATCCTACTCCCCTTCCAATTGAGCAGGGTGGGAGAGCAAAGTGATAGGAGAAAGCAGACATTAAAAATAAGTCTAGAAAACACCTGATATGTACATCAGACCTAAACCTTTCAAAGCATAAAAGATGAGAGTAAGGGAATATTTTGGAGAAAGCGACTTTGTGCAATCACTGACGAAAAGGGTTCCATGAAGAGTTTAACATTACAATTGTTGATGTCTTCACTTAAAAAACACTTAATTTTTATCATCAATATTGTGAACTCATGGGACGTTTTGACGAGACAAGAAGAAATGAGCAAGTTTAGACAATGGGAAACTATGTTTAGAGGACGTGTTGGAAGGTTCCCTCTGTTCAATGCGCTAAAATAAACCCGATCACAGGGAAGGGACAAAAAAAATCTTTCTTCCTCCCCAACAAATTAATTTACTATCATTATGTACTCTCCACGACTGCTACTGCAAGACCATTCATCGAATGTCCTAATCAACACTTGCTGTTTTCAATAAGATCAGGCACAGCAAAAATTAACGTTGTCAAAAAAAGACAGTGATTAATACCTTTTTGTGCATCATTTTTAAACTATATTTAACCACTCTAAAAATGCATAGAGTTACCCACTTGCATTAAAATAGCTGTCAAGGAGTTTTACTTAAACTGATCACAACACTGTACGACCAAAGGAAAATTAAACTATTTTGTATTTATTTTGAATTTTAAATATCAAATACTAAGGAGAATATTAGAGTGAGTGGGAGTAGTCAGCAGAATGTATATTCTGCAACAGAGCTGGATGACATGGGAACACTTTAGGGTATTGCTGAAAAAAGACACATTTTGTCAAAATGTTTTGTGTTGCCTGCATCAGGGCAATTTGTAAGAATATCATGTAGGGGAAATCAACATGTATCCTGAACGTACCCAACCAGTCTGTGCTAGCAAACCATATGATACAGTGTTCCACATTAGGTATGATTCTGAAATTGGATGGCAGCTGCTGGATAATTCTGAGTGTGCAAAGAATTATCCTGACAAGCAATTTACGAGTGTCAAGACAGGCTTGCAGTATGGCACACTTGCGTGTATTGGAGATGACATATATTAATTTTTGCACATATAAATAACACATTACACACATATTACTCCTATTTAAACTCAATAGAATAGTGATGGCCATTTGTACGTTCATTTCACAACACAATGCCTTGACTAATCAGAGTCAACCTACCTGATTTAAAATTTAAACAAATTTTGACAGTTAACTATCAGTCATCATTAAGTGGTTCATTCTTCATGCCAATTCCCCTGCCAAACAGAATCTATTTGCCAACAAATCAGAAATCTCTCCTTGCACAGTATAAATGTTGGGTTCTCCTTACAAATTACAAATTACAAATTTCTTGCAAATTACAAGTTCAAAATAAAATGTTTCAACAGAAAGTGCCATTTTTCAGTAATGCTCAAGTTCTGTACCACCAACTGACTCCATGGTAGCAGAGCAAAACAAATAGAACAGAGGAAATCATGTCTGCAAGACAAGAAGTAAATAAAACAGCCAGAAACCCAATGGAAAATGCTGAAAGTAGACAGCTGGAGTAAAAGGGCAAATAATCCTTTGGGAATGGAAGACCTTTAGTCAATTCACTCCCACTGAAACATTCACCTGTTCTTATTGTTCCTTGAAGCTGCATCTCCTTCAGCTGTTACTGAAATGCTGGGTAGAACACTCATCACAATTCTGTATGAATCGAAATTATTTTCCACCTCTTCCTTTTTCTAAAAACAAAACATATCCATACACAGGAGCTCCGCTTTGTCTCATTTTTAAATCCTCTTCAGCAGCTTCTGAGATCATTTGAATCTTGAACATTTGGTCTCACACAATTCCCCTATTGTCCCTTACTTATAAAGTATTGGGTTACTTATAAACTAATATTTATAAAGACAATCCAAACATTTTTAATCCACAAGTATTTACAATAAATAATATATAGAAAGAAAAATATATTTAAAATAAAAATATATAATTATGATCTTAACAGATATTTATTTTTGATTTAGTAATGAAAGACCTCAGGAATCTTCAAAAGAATTGGTACAAGGGCTGAGGTTGTGGTGACCTCGAGGTCAGAGGTGGTTTGTAGGAGGAAGGGCCAGGTCATAGTTGATAGGCAACTTCTCAAATTTTAATTTAAGGCCCCCTCACTGCTTTGTTGGATTTGTTTCCTCTGAAGCTTGTTTATTGGGCTACTCCTGCTGAACTTCCTGATGTAGACATTGCTAATGAAAGTGAGGTGGGTAAAGCAAATGTAGTTGGGGAGGGGAAGGGATTGGCAATAAGCCCTCCTTTGTTTACGGACAGTGCCGTCTCATTTTGCATGCCCTCTAAAAAAATTGTCAGTTTTGTACAACAGAGACTGTGCAAACCTACACAGCAACGTCTTCTGAGAGAGTGAGATTGAAAGAGTCAAAGTCCATGCCAGTCCAAAGCTTTATGAAAACATGCAATATTGGTGATAAGTAACTTAGAATGTTCATTAATTTAAAATAAATTATTGCTTTTAAAATAATAGGAAATAGGAAATAAAGCAAGACTGTTGGTGGATAAATTCCCCAAAGTCATTTGAGCTGTCATTAACATCTGCACAGTTTAAAAATACAAAATGCTTTGTTTTTCTCCAAGGGATTGGTTGGGTTTAATTTGACATTGAATGAAAGATTAGCAATGATTCATTAAAAGGGGAAGATAACACTGTGCCATCTCTGCTTGCTGTGGGTATTCCTGAAGAGGGATGTAGATCTCAGCATCAACTTTATCACCAGTGGGCTCTGAAAAGAGGAAGGTAAGAATGCAGGATTAGTACTGGCAATAACGGTTTCTTAAAGAGGAAAGTATCTCTCATTGTCACTACTGACACTATTGAATTCATAAAGAAATCAGAGAGCCTGGGCAACAAGGAGTAATCTAGGAGCAAAGAGTCTGGAAATGAGATGTAAGCCAGTGCAAAATCCAGGTGTGGCTGAGTTGAGGAGAATAGCAGAACCCATCCCACACTGAGCTCCCATAACGCTAGTAGTTCAAGTCCTTGGCAATTCAAATGCTGGGGGCTCATGACATGCTTGGTCCCAGTAAATAAAATTGCCAGCCATGGGGAAAGGGGCCGAGAGAAATCTTCACACATTTTTACCTGGCAGGAGGGGAGGGGCATTTAATAACTCCCCTGATCATGTGGAGAACATGGAAATGTGACAGTAAATGGAGTTAGCCAATTTTCTGAAAAAGTGTCCTGATCCGAAACGTCAACTTTCCTGCTCCCCTGATGCTGCCTGGCTTGCTGTGTCCTCCAGCTCCATGCTGTGTTGTCTTAGCCAGAAAAGGTTCTTGAAAGCAACTTCTTAACTCCCGATCTGCTAACAAGGAAAACAGAAAAATAAAAAAATTGTATAGATAGTTTGACAGGATAAAGTTGACTCTGGGAATCTCAAGCTGAAACAATTCTGTTCTTATTTTTATATAAATAGGAATTCACTGAGATTTCTTTGATCCTTCACAAAATTGTTTGCCACTGCCTTGTTTTACCTACATTTAACCTGACCATTTTTCTGCCCTCTCTCTGTTAGATCTGCTTTTTTTGAACAGAATCATACACTTTAATTAGCAATGACAACTCTTGTATATATTTAAATTGTAAATGTAAACTATATATAGGGATAAAAACATGAAATCACAGTTTGTGTCACTGAATTCACTTTAAGAGAATAAGGTAGCATGCCACTTTTTGTAGCATTTTTTCTAACTCCTCAAAGGAATTCAGGAAACACAATGTTAAAAGGGCTATTTCTCATTTCCCTATGCAAAGATGTGTTGCTGTGGTGATACCTGATGTTGTACAATTTAAGGAGCCGTACAGACACTATTAAAGAAATGTTTAGAGTTTACAATAAAAGAGGCTGATGACTCAGATCTCTCAAGGTTAATACTATATTTCTGCTATTGTGATTGTGAGATTTAGAAGTAATGATT